TGAATAGCTAGGCAACTGATTTTTAAGATTGTCATTTGTTACATCACTGTATATTACTGTAAGATAATTGAGTTTGCTTTTGCAGCACATGTGATATTTCTATTTTTATAGTTAATGATTTCATAAATTGTCATTGGAGTTAGTCCCATGGCACATATGCAGTTTGTGCAGGTAAGTCACAGGATTTGAGATCTCTATAGAACATGACCCTAGCAGGTTTTAAAAAGCCATTCTTGTAAGCACCTCTGCGCACATACACAGTGATTAAGAAGCATTTCAAAACTGTTCCTGAGCCTTCTTTAGGCCTGTTTGTTTTAGAAGTTGTACGTAAATGTAAGGAAAATCTGTACATGATTCAGTCTGGCTTGACGCAAGCGACCTTCAGCCCAGAAGCTGTGTAAACAAGATGAGGTGCTTCAGTGGGTAAACTATATATGCATTCCCTTAGGAAAGTAATGTTTTAGTTTCCTGTCTCCATAGCAAATTACCTTCTGTTTCCTACAGTTCTGTCTCTGAATGCTACAATTTTCTTTGGCATCCTGAGCTATTTTATTGTCCACTGAAGCAGCAAAATGCATATTCCACCCATCTTGTGGTGACAAACTACTTGTTTGCCACACAAGTTAATATGAGGTGATAGTCCTTTATGTGGTTTCTACATGAACTTGCTTTGGATTTTTTTTTCTCCCGTTTTAGAAGACTTTGGAAAGGTCTGTGGGGATTCTTCGTTACTTGCTTTTATTTCAGAATTCACTGAGAAAGCAAATATATTGCTAGGACACATTATTGCTTGCTTCTGTAGTATTTCCTGCATTGTTGCTCAACTAACATGATAGCAGAGCAGTATCCTTCACCTGTGGATTTTTCTTCTCTTAAGGAAAAATACAGAAGGAAAGATGTTTTTTAGGAATGCCTTGCCTGGACCAGTATTTCACCTCAGTTACTTTTTCAGTATTTTTTAAGACTCTTCCACATTTTCAAGACATCAGGGAGAAGCTGTTGATGACTCATCCCTGGAAGTGTTCAAGACCAGGTTGGATGTTGACTTCGATCAACCTAGTCTGGTGGAAGTGTCCCTGCCCATAGCGGAGGGCGGGGGTTTGGAACTAGATGGTCTTTGAAGTCCCTTCCAACCCGACTATTCTATGGCTATATATTAATGTCGTGTATTTTTTGACAGCGTTTACAAGTTTTTTCTACACAATCAACATTCTTTGACATTTGAACTTCACAAAGCAGAACACTACAGTAAGAACTACTTTAGTCATAGTGCTCAGACACTACATTTCCATTTAGTGTTTAAGTTTTGTTCTGAGAGTGATGTTACTCATATTTCAGAAGCTGGCTATTCCATCATTGCTAGTTTTGCCTCTGGTTCTTCTAAAGGTGCTTAATTTCAACTCACTTTGATACAAGGCAACCCAAGGAGGTAATTTTCCATTAAACAGATTGCATTTGTTTGTGGAGGCTGTTACTTTTAGCTGATATATTGCAGTTCACTTAACCTGTTTCTTATATCCTTTTTGAAACATATCTCTTCCTCAAAACTGATTCTGTTTTTCTGGATTTTATTTTAGGCTGCATGACTTGCATCCTAGATGAGATTTTCATGTTCTTTTTTTCTGTTAGTTACCAGCACATCTGTCACCACAGCTTGCCCTCCTACTGCTAAAATTGTGGAATATCACTTGTGAGGATGAAGTGCATTGATTCAAAGGACCAGCAATCCAGACTCAATAGCCAATGAGACTATTAAGCAGGTATTCTTTATTGCAGCACTGGAAGACAAATGGGGATATTTCTATAACATGTGTTTACCCTGGCTTTGTCTTTGTTCTGGTTATATGCATTCACTGCATACATATTTATTACATTTCCACAAAGTAATTATTATGTCTCCACCTATTTTAGGAACTATTTACATACTCATTTCACTTTCCATTCTATAGTCTTTATTGCCGTCTACTGTTAGTTCCTCTTATTTTGGCCTGTCTTGGTGGTCATTTACTTTATCACTCCTCTTCCTTTTCTATCCTTTCTGTCCTTTCTGACCTTCTCCATTGCTTAGCAGATTCTGCTGAGAACTGGCTGCAGTTAGCTGCAGGCATGAGATTCTGCCTTGAAACAACTGTTCCCCTTCCAGTTACAAGTTATCTATGCAGTTGCTGCATGTGTGTTGCTATCCCCAGCTGGATTTACTACAGCAGCTATACTGAAGTTTGCCTTTGTTCTTTGTTTCAGCCTAAAGATATTTTCTTTAACTTCTGCCTTCAGAAAGGAATGAACATTATGAATTCATTAGCATCTATAATGTTTCATTCATGGCTCACTAGTGTGAGCACCTAGCACAATGAGTAGATATGCCAAGGATCACCTGTGAATAGTGTGACCTGGTAGGAGGTAGGTAATAGTTTTCCTACCTTTTAGCTGAGTTTGAAAAAGGTGAGGAAACGCCATGGTGTGGTTCTGACTTTGACCATCAGTCTAAACCCTCCTTACTTTCTTATTTGTATTCAGAAAATTGCTTCGTTACTTCTCGTTGGAAGCTTAGTGTTTATGAAGATAGTGGGCTTGATATTTCCATGTATTTGGAAAAAAACACTGGTTTTGCAGTGTCCCAATAAACACAGTGGGAAATTTCAGACATTCTTTATGTGCTTCTCTTCTGCTGAGGGTGTTGCTGGACAGCCGGCTGAACATGAGCCAGCAGTGTGCCCAGGTGGCCAAGAAGGCCAACGGCATCCTGGCCTGTGTCAGGAATGGTGTTGTCAGCAGGACACTGTACAGTCACTGATTGTCCCCCTGTACTTAGCACTGCTGAGACCGCACCTTGAATCCTGTGTTCCATTTTGGGCCACTCGTGACAAGACAGACATTGATGTGCCGGAGTGTGTCCAAAGAAGAGCAATGAAGCTGGTGGAGGGACTAGAGCACAACTTTACTAGGAGTGGCTGAGGGAATTGGAGTTGTTCAGCCTGGAGAAAAGGAGGTTGAGGGGAGACCTTATCACTCTCTACAGCTGCCTGAAGGGAGGTTGTGGTGAGATAAGTGTTGGTCTCTTCTACCAAGTAACAAGCCATAGGAAAAGAAGATATTGTCTCTGGTTGTGCTGGGGGAGGTTTTGCTTTGATATTGGAAAAAAAAATTTCCACTGAAGGACTTGTCAAGCACTAGAACAGACTTCCCAGGAAGTGGTGGAGTCACCATCGCTGGAGATATTTAAAAGACTTGTAGATGTGGTACTTAGAGATGTGGTTTAGTGGTGGACCTGGCATTACTGGTTTAATGGTTGGACTCTTAAAGATCCTTTCCAACCTAAATGTTTCTATGATTTTGTGATTCTTTCTGAGTTGGAGCTGAGGCAGCGAACTGGTTCCTGAAAACACTTGCGGCTCTTCATGTTGAGAAACATTCTCAACAACTAGCTCTGAATTCATCTGGTGTCTATTGAGATCTATAATAATCTCAGAGCTACTTGTCTGTCTTTTAATTGCCTTTGTTGTGAATTAATAACATTCATGCCAAAAAGTTATGCTAGTGATGAATCTTAGTTTAAAATTTTTTTTCTGGCCTGAATTTTACTTATTCTTTTGTACTGAAACATCACCCTTTCAAGTAAGTTCAAGTTCTTTTATAGAAGATACTGTCTTTCTGTAAAGATAAGTCCATGTGCCTTGCTCTTTTCCTCTTTATTTTGTCCTGTAACAGAAAACCTGCATCATAGCTGTTAAACTGCTGTTCTTGGAACTGTTTTTTATTTTGCTGTTTCTGTTGCCTATGTTATGCTTAAATGAAGTGGCTTACTATGTGGTATTCTTTGATTCTTGTTTTTGCATATTCCTTTTGTTAGCATCTTACTTGTATGTTTCAACTTACACAGATAAATATTGAATTCATATTACTACATGTGGCTGATAGGCTATTTGTGCAGTTTCATCTCTGTGGTGTACAATTAGTAGTCATGCCAGTGTCAGCAAGTATTTTTGTTTCTGTTTGGATGGTTTGTGTCCTATAGGCTTTTCTTTCCATTTGATTTTTTTTTTACTTGAAATTTTTTTTTCTGATATTAATAGTCCGTTTATTTTCTGTGTATCTTGAGTGTGATTCCATTGGATTTCCATCCTTCATTTCTTACAAACTTTTCCTGGGTTACCTATGCATCAGTTCTTTGAATAGATCCTGCTTGTGTTTGTGGAACATCACTGTATGTCTTTTTAATTTTTTTATTGTATTTTCACTAGGTTTTGTTATAAAACAATAAGCTATTTAAGACCAGGTTATTTGTAATCTGTCTGGATTTTTACATCTCCTGACATAAAGAAGTGGCTACTATTGTCTGTATGATGGAGAAAGGACTTGAAATTTTATTCTTGGACAACTTAGGTGGTTGGCCCTTATTCCTGATCTTTTGATTGCTTACATTTCTATATGTAGAAGGCTCTGTTTCACTGAGGTAGTTCAAGGCATTTCTGTAGTCTTTTCTGTTTACACTAAATGATTATGCATAATGCTTTAAAGGAGATTATAGGAAGTAGTTCTATGGGATTGGTGCACTTGAGCATCTTCAAATGCAAATAAATGTATAATGCTAATTTAGCTGAGGTCCTCCTCTGATCCAGTCAAAAGGGACCAGAAGACTTCTGTTCCTGGCCAGTAAAAGCAAGGTGGAAGGGTGTGTCATGCTTTCCTCCCATGGACCTCTTTATAGTCTCTTAGACCCAGTCTCTGCTCCAGTGGAGACTACAGGCAGCAGTGAAGAGCAGTTACAGGATGGATGATGCAACTCTCTGAGCTTCCTGAGATAAATTTCACCATGTAAACTTGCAGCTGCAGCCTTGTTCGTCTCCCTCTACTATCCAGTGCTCTGCCTCAAGCTCTGAGGAAGCTGAAGTACTCATCACCTCTGCTCTCCCATGCATACTAAGCAGAGTATCCTTCATGAGAGACTGGCCGTTTTCTTAAAGTGTTCCCTAATGGTGTGTTTAATTTTCTCCCCGTAGTGATCTGAAGAAGAAATACAACATAACAGCAATTCCTAAACTCGTGATTGTGAAACAAACTGGAGAAGTCATTACAGACAAGGGAAGAAAACAGATCAGAGAAAAAGGGCTATCCTGTTTTCGAAACTGGCTTGAGAGTGCAGATATCTTCCAGAATTTTTCTAGCTAACAAGTTGGCAGATGAAAGCAAGACAAAGCATCATGAAAATCTTTGTAGAGCTTTGTTGCCTCGTCCAGAACAAGAAGGGTAAGGCTTACTTGTCTTTGCTTGTAAGCAAATTTTGCTTTCCACTTGAAGTTTAGTTATTCCAGTAAGTCATAAAATGCAATTATTGTTTTATTTGTATTGTTTTATCTACTATATTCAGTATGAACCAAAGCATTGCTCATAATACTGAAGTACTTCAGGAGGATAGGCTGTTTTAGACAGCAGTAATTGAACACTGTGAAATCTATGCAAATACTTTGCAAAATCTGTACTGTAAGAATTAGTTATATGCACAAACTGATTTTTCTTGATGGCATTTTTTTTCTGGTGATTAGCACATATTTTAAGAAGAGCAAATTGTTTGTTTTAATAAATAACAGATTATGAAATGTGTCTAATGTGTCTTCCTTACCTATCTTAAAAGGGTAATCAGAAAATGTCACAAAATCACAGAATAGTGAGAGTTGGAAGGGACCTTCAGAGATCATGTAGTCCAACCACCTTGCTAAAGCAGGATCAGCTAGAGCACGTCACACAGGATTGCATCCAGGTGGGCTTTGAACGTCTCCAAAGATAGAGACTCCACAACTTCCCTGGGCAACCTGTTCCAGTGCTCTGTTACCCTCACAGTAAAGTTCTTCCTTGTATTTAAATGAATCTTCCTGTGTTCCAGCTTCTGCCTGTTGCCTCTTGTCCATAGGGCACTACAGAAAAGAGTCCAGCTCCGTCTTCCTTGCACCCACACTTTAGATATTTATAGACACTGCTAAGGTCTCCTTTCAGCCTTCTCTTCTCCAGGCTAGTCACAGCGTTCTCAGCCTTTCCTCATAAGAGAGATGCTCCAGTCCCCCAGTAATCTTAGCTGCCCTCCACTGGACTTTCTCCAGTACTTCCTTGTCTTTCTTGAACTGGGGAGCCCAGCACTGGACACAGTATTCCAGATGTGGCCTCACTGGGGCAGAATAGAGTGGGAGGATGAATTCCCTTGACCTAATGGCCACACTCTTCTTAATGCCCCCCCAGGATACCACTGGCAACAAGGGCACATTGCTGGCTCATAGTTAACTTACTATCTGCTAACACTCCAAGATCCTTCTCAGGGCTGCTTTCCAGAATGTCTACCCCTAACCTGTACTGGTGCATGGGGTTGATTCCTCCCCAGGTGCAGGACACTACATTTGCCTTTGTTGAATTTCATAAGGTTACTCTGCTCAACTCTCCAGCTTGTCCAGGTCATGCTGGATGGCAGAACAGTCCTCTGGCATGCCAGCCATTCCTCCCAGTTTTGTACGGTCAACAAATTTGCTGAGGATACACTTTGTCCTCTCATCTAGGTCATTGATGAATATGTTAAATAAGATGGGGCCCAGTACTGACCCCTGGTGAACACCACTGGTTTACAGCCTCCAGCTCAACCCTGTTCCATTGATCACAACCCTCTGGGCTCTTGTCACTGAACTAGCTCTCAGCCCACCTCACTGTCCACTCATCTAACCCACACTTTGTGCTTTTAAAATAAGATGCATTTGTTTGCCAGTACTGAATAGATGCTACTTAGTTTTTATTTTACTTTGTGTGGGATTTACTTTAATACTGCTGAGTTTTTCTTACTGCTGGGTTTTTGAACTTGGCACTGTAAACTATCTCAGAGATTAACATCAGGTCAAGTCTAAGAAAGCATTTTCTATCTCCTCCTTTTGCCAAAGTTCTGTAGAAGTGCACATAAAAAAATTATACCAGCTCTCTGTGATGAGTGCTCATGTTTCATTTAAAGTAGAGCCCGATTTGCCTATGTTCTGCCAGATGTTGCATTCAGACTTGACGGCCAGTGTCCCACGCCAAACATCCATGTGATTAGTGAGATAAAGAAATACTTCCTCTTCAAGCCAAAAATTTATTGATTAGAATTTGAAGACTTGAACGGAATTATTATTAGTTCAGTTATCAGCACTTACATTACTAAAGCGCCAAGTCCAGATTACTCAATTACTACAATTCATTTCCCATAAAGGTACAGTTAAAATTGATGCACGTTTGAGTTGTCTTTCTATGTTTACCCTTCCTTTTGGTTCTAATGTTTTCTGGAAGATGACAGCTTGCCTCCACCTGTACGGTGTGCTGCTGATCATAATCCTCTGGGCTTGGTGGTTCAGCCAGGCAGGAGTGGCATTTGCTTTCTTCACGTCTCAGGAACCTGTCACAACAGACGTGACCTCACAGTGGTATCAGCCAGCTCCCTCAGCACTCACAGGAGCAACCCATCAGGCCTCATGAACTTAGGTATGTGCAAGCTGAGTAAGTACTTCCTACTCTGGTGATCCTGTCCTGAGTGTAAGTCTTCCTTGCTCCGGACTTTCCCTCTAGTCTCAGAGGTCGTGGATACCAGAAGGTTGATCTTAAGATATGTGCTACATGAGTACTCTTGCTGGTCTGCCCGCTACTGGTGGCTCACAGGCTCTTGACTGGCTCCTGAGCGGCCCCAAGGCAGAGCTCTGTGCACTCCAGCTGCTCTTCTCTTTCATATGCAAAACTGCCTCTTCACCTTCATAGCCTGTGCTTGCTAAAGAGACTGTTACCTGTCCACTGCGGTGCTCCAGCTGTGTGAGCTGTCCCACCCATATCTTTGTGATCCCAACAAGGTCACAGCCCTCCAATTACACACAGATTTCTGAGTTCCCCACTATCCCCTGTGCTGTGTGCATTAGTGTAGAGGCATTTCAGTGAGGTGCCCAAGTGTGTTGGTTCCCCAGAGGAGCAGAACGTGGTTGTTCTGTAGGCATTTCTTTACATGCCTGTGCTCAAAGAGATTACACTTGATTCTTGTTTTGCTGATTGGTATATCCTTCCTGAAGCCATTGACTTACAGACGCCATCCACAACTATCTCACTTGAGTGTTGAGGAACCTTCGATCCTGAGAACACTTAGCAAGGAGGCCTGAAATTAGTGTGTGTGGATGATGTTTAATAACACAACTGTAATTTTCTTGTAGTGTAGGAAAAAAATAATTTTTCCCTGAAGACTCTGGGTGAAGGGAACATCAGTAAATGAAGTCAGGTATTCCTCACAATATGTCAAAAAAGAAAAAGCAGGTACTCCACAGAAACTGATTTTAAAAAGGAATATATTGAATCTAGGAAGTGTTCGGCATCTTACAGCTTAAAATGACATCGGGGCATACTGCAGACAATTTCTAATTTTTGCCATCTACTGGTATAAATAATGCTTAGGTGACCTATTACCAGATACCAGACATCGCTTAGGTCAAGATAGGTTGGTTCATTTTTGTCTATATGTGCGCATATGGAAAAACTCAGTATTTTAAGACTGAGATGGAGGTCAGTCCTATGAATAATTGACACACTGCTGCAGTAAAAGTAGAATTCAGGTAGGAAATTAACAGTGATGAAGCAAAGCTATATGCTATACACAATACTTGGTTTGACTTCAGAGAAGGACTATTATTTTTGCACATCAGTGTTTGAAAGCTCAGGAATTTTTTTTTCCTTGTCAGTGCTGAAATAATGTGTGTTTGATAGACAAACACCTTGTGAAATTAGAGGAGCAGATCTCAGTGGGACTGCTGTACGGTTTGTTACTACTTTGAATTTATGTCCATTGAGAATGAAACTTAGCAGTGTGCTAATAATTGTATTTACAGAATTTTCCTTTTAACTTCCTTAAATATTTTCAATTCACTGGCAATTTTCTATCCTCTCTCTTTAGTCAGCTGAATATCAGTGAATGCTAATGTTCTTTTCTGAATTAGGAGGAAAAATGCCTTTCTTTAAAATGTAACTACAGACAGTAGCATAGTGATATTGGTAGATGGTGCACACTCATAAAGGAATTAACTAAAAACCAGCTAAGATTAAGAGGAGTAGCATCTTTCGTTATTCCATTGTACGAAATATTGCCTGTTATTAGTAAATGGTTTATGGAGCAATATATGTTAAGATTGCCCAGGAACCTACAGTGTTGATTTTTTTTGGTAGAATTTATGCAGAATTATTTTGCTAGATAAAACGGCACAGATAAGTTCATACTTTGTAAATTGATCCATACTGTGACTTTTGAGGAGAGTGACCTAGATGCAGATGAATGCAGGCTCTCCTGTGACCTCTGAACTTAGCATCTGGAGAGAGGCAAAGCATGGTGACAGATTCAGATGTGAAATAAACATTATCATTGCAAATGCAATCAATGCCTTTCTCTTTGTTAATCTTTTATTTCTGTAACTCTCCGTCATGTCGATCCTTGCTATCCACTAGGCATTCGTTCCTCCTGAAGAGCTGCTATTCACAAACTTTAATAGTTCTATTCCCATCCAATGTTGTGAAATAAAAAAATAAATGCTTTTATTAGTAGATTTTTTAAAAAGCAAGATTACTTACCAGTGTTATGTGTTCTACAAGGTAGAATAGTGCTATATGCCTAAGATGCAAAAACTTCATTATTGGTCTCTAAAATACAAACCCTTTATAGACGTGAATTAATTTTTAATTTTTCTGTATTTTTAGTTCTTTCTGAGTTAGAGTCACAACAAGTTTTTCAATCTTAATCACCAAAGCTATTTCCCTACTGAATAGTCTTTATTGCAGATGCCGAACTCTTGGCTTTCTCTGAAGTATAATTCGTCCATATGTGTCTTCTAATTAGGAAATTTATCTACGATGTCCTAAAATAATTCATATTTCTGTCTCACTTTTCTCTTGCAGTGTCACTATTTTAAATAGTATTGGATCAAAATCAGCATCTGGCACTATTAAAAAAAAGATACAAAGTCTTCTGTGTGGACAGTTGCCTGTGCAGTTATAGAGACCCTCAAACCAGAGAAAAAGAAGTAAAGTTAAGCTTGCCTGTTACTATCACTAAAGTTCTAACAACTGCTCATTATCCATCTGTGGATGAAATAGTGCTGATTAGAAAATGCCAAATGTCTTATCTGTGCATAATAATTTAA